AACCAAAACCCTAAATCCTGTGGGTGCTTGCTGGAAGGGTTTCTCACAGTGCTCGGAGTTCTCCTTGGTAGTAGGGGGTCGTGGCTGCATCACTTTCAAAGGGATCCCCAGTGACCTGGACAACGGTCTTTACCCTAAACCCTAAACCCTCAACCCCCTAAACCCTAAACCCCTGTATCCTAAACCCTAAACCCTAATACCCTAATACCCTAATACGCTAAACCCCTATATCCTAAACCCTAATACCCTAATACCCTAATACCCTAAACCCTAAGCCCCTAAGCCATAAACCTAGCCAGCCTTCTTCGCGAGGCTTCTCCGATTTTCATCCCAGCTGAGCCCCATTTTGGCCATTCTGAGGCCCAGACGTAACATCTTATCTAAAGCTTCGGTCTCCCAAAACCCATAACCCTATACCCTAAACCCTAAACCCCTAAACCCTTAAACCCTAAACCCCTAAACCGTAAACCCTAAAGTTTGGGTCTCCCAAAACCCTGAACCCTTAAACCCTAAACCCTGAACCCTTAACCCTATACCCTAAACCCTAAAGCTTCGGTCTCCCAAAACCCTAAACCCTATACCCTAAACCCTAAACGTGGGCTCCCGGAGGAGAACTGCAGAGATAGGTTACAGGTCAGCGAGGCCGGGTTAGCGGCTATGGCGGTGGTTATCACTATCGTTGCTTTGTGCTCGTCTTTATCTTGTGGTTGGTTTAGGGGTCTAGGGTTTAGGGTTTAGGATGAGGGGTTTAGGGTTTAGGATGGTGATGACGATGATGACAATGACGATGACGATGATGATGATGCTGATGACGATGATGAGGATGATGATGACAAATATCATGTTGATCCGGCTTGCGAGTTTGGTTCGTCCCGTGTGTCTGCACCGACTCTCACACGAGGTGCAGGGCCATGCTGGCGACCCATGAGATGCTGAAGAAGCTGATCCAGGAGGCTTGGATGCTTGCAAAGCTACAATAAACCCTAAACCCTAAACCCTAAAACCCTAAACCCTAAACCCCGCATCGCATCAAGACACCCTATCCCAAACCACAAAAGCTCAGACTTCAAAATCTGGTGTTGTGAGCTACAGCTGCAGAATCTGAGGTCCTAAGGCCCTCAACCCCAGGAAGCACAATTTAATGCCGCCTTAAACCCTGAGCAGCGAGCCCAACATCCTAGACCCATTGGTAGAGCTTCGTAGCGACCTCAGCACACCTTAAACCCTAAAACCCTAAACCCTAAACCCTAAACCCCAAAACCCTCCAAGGCGGAAAAAGGCCCAGTGAAAAAAAGCTAAAACTGTAAACCCTAAAACCCTAAAGCCCTACAACCCTAAAACCCTAAACCCTAAATCCCACAAAAATCCGGAATGCTCGAAACCGTGCTCGGAGGAGGGCCGAGAGGACATCAGTGGCTCTTTGGCCTTCCACACCTCCGGCGTGCCCTGTCTCTCCTGCGCCTGGGATGCAGGCCTTGAGAGAGGTTAAAGGTTCATTCCTTTTTGGGTGTGTTTTGGTGTCTTTTGCTGCTGTTGGTTTGTTCGCCGGCTTTGTTATCATCGTTGTTATAGACTTTGTGTGCTATGCTGCCACCAGCATTACCGCCGCCACCACCGCAGCCGCCACCGCCGGCTCCCAGCATCTTAACCCCGCGATCTTTCCGTCTACGATGTCGTCCGGCATGCACCACTTAGCTTCAGGCCTGAATCTGCCATGCCCTAGACCCTAGACCCTAGACCCTAGACCGTACACTGAACCCTGAACCCTAAATAAACTCCTAATCACGAGCCCTGATCCTAAACCCCGGACCCTGAGCCCTGAAGCCTAAACCCGCAACCCTGAACCCAGTGTTGGAGAAGTGCGGGGAATGTGAATGCTCCGGCGGGTCACACACTGCGTTGAACTGTACTACTTTTTGTATCATGGGGTTAGGGTAGTAGGTTTAGGGTTGTATAAGGTTTCTATGAAGTTTTCTACGATGATTCTATAAAACAAAGCTTTTCCACTGTAGAAGTTTCTGCAATGCTTCGAGCCGCTGAGGTGTTGGCATCGCAGCTCAGTTCAAGCGCTGCTATCCCAGAGTCAGCCGCTTGGCGGTCGGCCAAAGGCCCGTGCAACTAAGATTGCAGTGCTGCATAGGCAGCAAGGGAACTGCGTCCGTATCGCGGTTTCTGCACTTTTGCCCCCTATTTTGCTAGCTCAGGAACAATCGGAGCATTGTCTCCGAAAGCACGAGATGTTCTTCCTAGGGCAGCATGCATGGTAGCTATCTGCATGCCTCAAGGCACTGTCTGAGGGCGTCGAGGATCGTCGGATCGTTTTCGTGGACGTCTGTTAGCTTGTTTCAGTCTTCCCAACGTTCAGTTTCCAGGGACATAAGTAATGTAGGGGCCTTAATAATTAGAATAGGGTTTTGGGGGTTCCTTATTATAATCATAGTAGAATATACCCCAAACCCTCTTCCAATTATTAAGGCCCCTATATTACTCAGGCAAAGCAGTCCGAAGTCGATGCGTCCCCAATTGTCGCCGGATCCCAGCACCAGCCAAGACTTCTGCTTCACCTTCCAGAACCGCCCGCTGTCGGAAACAGACGACGGCGCCCTGTTCGCACGGTTTAGGGTGGAGGGGTTTCTGGTGTGGGTTTTGAGGGTTTAGGGAATCAGCGTTCTTCGGAGCCTCTCACTTCCTATTCAAGCTTACAGTTGAACACAACCCAAATCCCGAAGGGTTTAGGGCTTCCGGTTTGGGGCTTAAGGTTCAGGGGTCTTGGGGTTTAGGGTGCTTGGGACATTGCATCGGGGCATCTGTATCATCCTATCTCTTTTGTTCGAAGCCCCCCCGGCCCGCTCCTGCCGCCGCCCGCAGGTCCTACTGTCCTCTAGGAATTGGCAGGTCATGGCTTTGGTTCTATGGCTTTGATCCGACCTACACCTAAACCCTAAACCCTAAATCCTAGACCCTAAACCCTAAACCCTAAAACCTAAACCCTACACCCTAAGCCACCCCTAGACCCCAAACGCGAAGCCCTGCGCCAGCGGTGCTCGGAACCTCTGATTGCTGGGCCCCTATTCCAAAACCCTGAGCCCCGAACTCTCAAACTGTCAGATTTTCATAAGGGCCCTATAAAGGCTTCTATAAGGTCTTCAGGGTTCTTGTTAGGGGGTTTAGTGTAAGTTGCCATCATAAAGAAGCCATACTATTTATTTACTACAGATCCCCATTATGGTAAGTTTAAATAAAATCTCTTAAGTAGAACCCCTAAACCCCCTAAGCCCCAAACTCTAAAACCCCTAAACCCCCCAAACCTGAAATCCCTGAATCTCTTAAGAAGAACCCAGTCAACCCAGGCATGGCGGATTCAGTTGCAACTCGGCCTCCTTCGGGCCGGGTTTCGTGGGGTTTTCGCGCGTCTTCGTTTGGTTTTCCTACGGCTTAGAGTATGTTTGGCTTAGGTTTCGGGTTGAAGGTGCGTTTGGGACTAGAGGTGCGGGTTTTGCGCTTTATTGCCTGAAGGGGTGTGTAAGGAGACTCCATCGTCGTGAAAAGAGTTTACAAATCAGCTGAGATTTCCTATCATCGTAACGACCGCCGTAGCCTACCGCAACCATCATCGCCACCATCACCGTCGTCATCGTCATCGCCATCGTCTCTTCCTCCGCAGCTAGAGTCCCGTC